GACACCGGGGGTTGCGATCCCATTGCTGGTCCCGGTCCGGTACGGGGGCGACACTGAGGGTTGCGATCCGTTGCCGGACACGGAAAAAGACAAAAAGGAAAAAAAAAAAAAAAAGAAGAAGAGTAAAAGAGCCGGCCCGGTGGCGCACTGCTGTAGTGCGCCGCTTGGGAAGGGCGGCGACGCTCCTGCCGAGGGTTCGGATCCCACATACAGACCGGTTCCCGCTCACTGGCTGAGCGAGGTGCGGGAGCGACACCGAGGGTTGCGATCCCATTGCTGGTCCCGGTCCGGTACGGGGGCGACACTGAGGGTTGCGATCCGTTGCCGGACACGGAAAAAGACAAAAAGGAAAAAAAAAAAAAAAAGAAGAAGAGTAAAAGAATCCTAACTGTAACTTCACAAATAGTTTAATTAGATTATCAAACCTAGGTCTTCTGAAGCGATCCTCTCGATCCCCATCTCTCTCTCTGTCCCTTTCTCTCTCAGGGTCCTTGTCATTCTCCTCACGATCTTGATTGTCTCTATCTCTTTCTTTTTCTCTGTCCCATTCACGTTCTTCTGATGGTCTCAATTCTCGAGGTGGACCCCAACTCTCTTCTCTGGCTTTTTCTTTTTCTCTCCATCCACCTATTTTTTTAGAGAAGCAAAATATTTCCCTTAAGAAACAGACTGGCAACCATGATTCGAAATCTTTATGGTATTAATTCATTACCATTCTAAATGCTAATTTAAGACACTCCAACTTCATTTCCCATCCACCTATTTTTTTAGAGAAGCAAAATATTTCCCTTAAGAAACAGACTGGCAACCATGAATAGAAATCTTTATGGTATTAATTCATTACCATTCTAAATGCTAATTTAAGACACTCCAACTTCATTTCCAAAAAAAAAAAGCACTAAAGCTGTGTATGTCACTGCAAAGACTACCTACCTATCCATTAACAGCTTTTCTAACTTACATATCTATAGGAATCTTAAATAGTCTAGGCTGAGTGTTTCATGAAATAAAACCATCACAGATAAACTTGTAATTCTCCCTGTTGTATGGAGAGTTTCAGGTATAAAATCTGTTCTGACAATAAACAGACTGCTCATTTAAGCAGAAAATTTGAAGTTTTCTCATATAGAACCCAAATTATGAGTTCATTTAAACCCTGCAACATTTTCAAAGCCTTCATAGCCAAAGAAGACTCTTTTCTTTCATATTTCTGTGTTCCACCATTTACCACCCACCATTCTAGTCATTAAACAAGGATAAACCCTTTGATCCTGCCCAATATCTCACATTTAGCCATGGAATGTCTGTGAGGACACAAAAAGGCCAAAGGAAGGAGAGATTTTAATGAAAGTGTATTACAGCCATAAAGCTAATAATTATTGTCACTAACACTGATATCATCATGTACCAAAGCATTATCTATTTTAAAAAACCCTTTGCCTATATTCACTCCTTCAGTCCCATCCAAAGCTGAGGTATGTACAATCAATCCTCATTATTCATGAATCCTGTATTTGTGAATTTGCCTACTTGCTAAAATTTATTTGTTAACGCCCCAGTTAAAATACTCATGGCACTATTACAGTCACTAGCAGACATGTGAAGAGCAGCAAAAAATCTGAGTCGCCCAGCACACATGCTGCCAGCCAAGGTCAACAGCACTCTGCATTCTTGTTTCAGCTCTTATGCTATAAAACCAGTGTCCTTTGTGGGATCTATTTAGTGCTGCATTTTTCACTTTCCACATCTCTGTGATTTTTGCTGGTGATTTCACCATTTAAAATGGCTCCCAAGCATAGTGCTAAAATGCTGTCTATTATCCCCAAGCACAAGAAAGCTATGAGATGACTTAAAGAGAAAATACGCATTTTAGATAAGCTTTGTTCAGGCATGAGTTACAGTACTGTTAGCTCATATATTCACTTTCTACATGAGTTCAATGTTAATGAATCAATGATGTGTATTAATTAAGGCATCTTTAAACAGAAACACATAAAACATGACTGTGTACTGACGGGTTGACAAAGAATGTAATCAGAGGCTTGCAGGACCCTAACCTTGTATTTCCTCAAACAGCAATGGTTCGGTATTCATGGCAATTTTATAAAATGTAACTACCATGAAGTAATAGGAATCTACTGTACTGTTAACCCCACTTTACATGAGGCACAGAAAAGTTAAATGGCTTGCCCAAGGCCACACAGCTGAACAGCGGAATGAGGTAAGACCAGAAGAGACAGAAGCATGCAACAGAAACTGCTATGGGTAAAGAAAGGCAAGGAAGCTGCTCACTTAGATCTTCACTTAGAACAGGTTGCTCTGGTTGTTACAAAAACCATAGAACTGGGAGTGCGAGAGCAATGATGGTGACCCAGACCCAAGTACAAGCAAGGGGAATAGAGAAGCAGGCAGATTCAAGGAACATCGAAAAGGCAGAACTGAACTAGATGAAAGATTTAACATAAAGGATGAGATAGAGACCACGGTAAAGGAGAACTCCCAGATTTCTAATTTATCCAGTGAGATGGACAGTGGCGTCCCTGAAGAGAAGCAGGTGGGGTGCGGGGTAGTGGTGGAGAATCCAGTTTTGGACAGGATGAGTTTGAATTGTCAGTGAGACTTCCAGGTGAAGATGTGCTGTGTGCAATATGCAGCTGACACCTGCATGCAGTATGCAGAAATGACCTGGAGAAGATGAGCAGGCCGAGGACTAAGAAATTTAAGAAAATAAGCCCTTCCATGCATAATCCCATGCTTGGCAGAAATGTGGACAAATATTTAACAAAAGTACATTTTAGTTTTAATTATTTTTAAAAAGAGGTTGGTCCAAGACGAAGCCTAAGGAACACAGTAAATCTTAAGGAATGGGCATAGAAAGAAGGGCCTTTAAAGAAGCCATGAACAGGCAGAACTACTAAAGAACAGGGGGTGAGGTTATTTAATTTTTTTGAAGTACAGGCTATCAAGGACAAACTTTTGATATAAAAGTCACTGCTTAGGGGCCGGCCCGGTGGCGCACTGCTACAGTGCGCCGCTTGGGAAGCGTGGCAGCGCTCCCGCCGAGGGTTCGGATCCCACATACAGACCGGCTGCTCACTGGCTGAGCGAGGTGCGGGAGCAACACCGAGGGTTGCGATCCGTTGCCGGTCACAAAAAAAGACAAAAAGGAAAAAAAAAAAGTCACTGCTTAGTTATTCAAGGAAAGAAAAAACACCAGTTTACCTAGAAAATGATAATATAGCCCAACTGTCACTTATCCATTAAAATTTCACTTCCTACATGTAAACATATCAAGCAGATTCTAAAAAGCATCTGTTCTAGTTTTCTGAATGCCAGAATTTTACCTGGCTTGACAAATGGTCTCCAGGGACCAGGTCTAGAGTCATCACCCCGTCTGGGAATCCGATCATCATCACCACGTCTTGCAATACGATCATCATCCATGTTTCTCCAAGGCCCTCTGTCATCATCTGCACTGCGCCTGGAAACTCTATCATCATCAGCATTCCTCCAAGGTCCTCGATCATCATCCAACCCACGCCTGGGACCCCGGTCATCATCCATGCTCCGTCTGGGACCCCGGTCATCATCCATGCTCCGTCTGGGACCTCGGTCATCATCCATGCTCCGTCTGGGACCCCGGTCGTCATCAGCATTACGCCAGGATGACCGCTCTTCATCAGCAGCTCCTCGCCTCAGCCCCCGGTCCTCATCTATCCCACGTCTTGGTCCTCTGTCCTCATCGGCTGTTCGCCAGCTTCCTCTGTCCTCATCCAGTCGTCTAGGTGGTCTGTCATCATCCGCATGACGCCAGCTTCCCCTGTCTTCATCAGCAATTCGTCTAGGAGGCCTGTCATCATCAGCAATTCGTCTAGGAGGCCTGTCGTCATCTGCATTACGCCAGGATGGCCGGTCATCATCTGCCGGGCGGCGAGAGAACCGATCTTCATCAGGACCGCGTCTAGGCCCTCTATCATCATCCATGCCACGCCGCGGAATCCGATCATCATCTGGTCTAAGAGAAGATTCCCGCTCTTCATCATCCCCTACACGCCTTGGTCGATCTTCATCTCTTCTATGAGGCCTCTCCTCATCCCGCCCTTCTCCACGTCTCCATTCTCTAAAGAGCAACAAGTCACACATTTTTAAGAAAGCATATGATCCTTTGGGGCATTATTTTTTGTTTCACTCACTTTCAAAAATCACTTCAGTCTAAATTCATTAATCCTGTTCCTCAAAAAGTGTTCTCCTAATAAAAAAAGAACACAAAATCCAGTATCTCACATCAACAAACAGACCAACAAGTAGACAACTCCCTAAAAAAAAGTGTATCTGCACTTTACCAGGAGCACCTTGGCAATTTCTAAATATTTACAATGAGCTTTCTAAACATAATTTCTATACAGGAATCAAAGCCAGCATTCTTGGGCCGGCCCGTGGCTCACTCGGGAGAGTGTGGTGCTGATAACACCAAGGCCCCGGGTTCGGATCCCATATAGGGATGGCCGGTTCGCTCACTGGCTGAGCGTGGTGCTGACAACACCAAGTCAAGGGTTAAGATCCCCTTACCGGTCATCTTTAAAACAAACAAACAAACAAAAAAATAAGTAACCTGGAGATGATTCAAAGCATACAGGAGGATGTGCACAGGTTGTATGCAAATACTACACCACTTTATATCAGGGGCTTGAGCATCTGTGGATTTTCGTTTCTGTGGAGGGTCCTGGAACCAATTCCCTGTGAATACTGAGGGATGAGTGTGCATTGTTGGTGGGAGTACAGAACGTTACAACCACCTTGTGGTTCTCCCAAGGTGTTCCCAAGAACAATGTATAAGGCAGTGGCCCCAATGCCCTATATGAACTTTTTTTTTTTTTTTTTTTTAAAGATGACCGGTAAGGGGATCTTAACCCTTGACTTGGTGTTGTCAGCACCACGCTCAGCCAGTGAGCGAACCGGCCATCCCTATATGGGATCCGAACCCGGGGCCTTGGTGTTATCAGCACCGCACTTTCCCGAGTGAGCCACGGGCCGGCCCAAGAATGCTGGCTTTTTTTTTTTTTTTTTCAAAAGATGACCGGTAAGGGGATCTTAACCCTTGACTTGGTGTTGTCAGCACCACGCTCAGCCAGTGAGCGAACCGGCCATCCCTATATGGGATCCGAACCCGGGGCCTTGGTGTTATCAGCCCCCCACTCTCCCGAGTGAGCCACGGGCCGGCCCAAGAATGCTGG